CTCCTCGACTCCACAACATTGAGGTAGTCGCTGCCACGGAAGCGCAGCCTCCTCAGACCTCACATCACCAAGAAATCCGCTGCCAAGGAAGCGCAGCCTTCCCCTGCATCAATTCAGCACTTCAGGTCACAGCTGCCAGAAGTCAGCACATCAAACGTCGCTACGGTTGGGGTAAGTCAAGCTCAATACTTAATTGAATCGCCGATTCCGTTCTCTTCTTAAAACCGATCCTTAATCGCGATCAAACAAGTGCGTAAAATGGCTCCATCCCACGAAGAGCGCATCAAATCGTTAAAAGCCAAACGCGAAGCATTTCGCATTGAATTGCACGAATTCAAGGACATGGTCTTTGAAATTGGTCTTCGCCTCGAAGACATACAAACAGAGTACGCCTCATTCGCCAAAAATCAACAAGAGTTAGATACTATTGACGACACCGGAGAGCTACTACATGATCGAATGAAGCTAAAATCATTTTACACACAAGTGCGGGCACAAGCATTAGATTTACTTCCAGGAAATAACCTCGCGAATACAAATACGCCCGCACAAAACAGTGACGGGCAACCCAATCAGTCTTCACCTTACTATCAAACCGAATCAACAGACATAGACGTACAATTACCGAAAATTAATCTACCGACATTTTCCGGCAATTATGAAGATTGGCCCGGCTTTGCGGACCAATTTAGATCAGCAGTACATGATAACGTCAGAATTAGTGATTGTAAAAAATTAACCTATCTCCGATCGTGTTTAAAAGGAGAAGCATTGAAGGGTATAGAGTCGCTCACTAATTCCGCAGCGAACTATGGAATTGCATGGACCCTGTTAGAGAAACAATATAATCAACCCGCAGTCATCGTCTCCAAACATTTAAAAGCATTGTTCGATCTCCCAAGCGTTACACGACCCGCGCATCGAGAACTCAGGTCATTTTTATGCAATGTCGAAGCGCATTATCGCTCGCTTCAGCCGTTGAAACAACCCACTCCTGATACACTTCTAATTCATCTCCTGTTGACAAAGCTAGATAAAGATACAGCATTGAAATGGCGTGAATACACACGAAAGGATAGTTTTCCTACATTAAACACATTTTTTGAATTTCTGCATGAAAGATGCCAGGTATTGGAACCATTAGCGAACCATTACCTACCACACCCTAACCCCACTACTTCGGCATACACACCGCGTGGTCAAATCGCGCCGCGTCACCAAACCCTTCAACGAGGAACTCCACGACCGAGTTTCCGCGACCACCGCCAAATGGCACCTCAGGTATACAGTTTTTGTAAGGGAGCACACTTCGCCCAACAGTGCGAAACTTTCAATAGACTTTCCATACCAGACCGCCATAAACTTGTCCAATCTAAAAGGCTTTGTTCCAACTGCCTTCGCCCCAATCATAATGCCAGTGATTGTCGGTCCACAACGTGTAAACGATGTCACAAAAAACATCATACATTGTTGCATACGGATGATGTGACAAATTCTCCTACTGATATGCAATCACACATCACCTGCTTAAATTCACATCTCTCGTCGGAAATTCTTTTAGCTACTGCCGTAATAGAAATTCTAGATACTTCCGGACAAACACATCTCTGTCGAGTGTTACTTGATTCATGTTCTCACGCAAACTTTCTGAACTACAAATTCTGCAACAAGCTCGGTCTAACACTCCAACGGGCTACAATTCCCCTTAGCGGTGCCAATAACATGTCTTCGACAATTACCAGGCAAACGAATGCAACATTCAAATCACAATACAATGGGTATTCTCAGACACTTACTTTTTTGATAGTGGATCGCGTATCACAAAGGGTGCCGAGTAGCCCGATAGACCATAAGACACTACAAATTCCGCAGAATTTGCCCTTAGCCGATCCAAGGTTTTACGAATCTGCTGAAATTGACGGTCTCTTGGGCGCACAAGTCTTTTGGGATTTGCTCTCAGTAGGATGCATCAAGCTAGCCAAGGATGGCACAAAATTACATAAAACAAAATTAGGATGGGTCTTCGTAGGCGAATTAGTAAACCCTTGTAATAGAACAGGAATCATCTGTAATGTCGTGACAAATTCATTGGAACAGCAGATTTCAAGGTTTTGGGAATTGGAAGAACGATCCGTAAAAAGGCATCTGTCCCCCGAAGAACGCGCGTGTGAAAGTCATTACCTGCAACATACCCGACGCGACGCAGGTAGCGGTCGATATTCTGTTAAGCTGCCATTCAAGGAGAATATAACGCAATTAGGAGAGTCATATCCTATGGCATTCAAACGTTTTCTCGCCCTGGAAAGGCAATTAGATCGGAATCCCCAAATGAAAGAACAATATTCTGCATTCCTCAAAGAATATCAACAATTAGGGCACATGACGATAAGTAGCTCTAAATCACTCGATGGCTATTTCGTACCGCACCATGCAGTCACGAAAGTCGACAGTCTCACCACTAAAATTCGCGTGGTATTTGACGCGTCCGCCAAAACATCATCCGGAATATCATTAAATGATGCATTAATGGTAGGTCCCACGGTCCAAGATGACCTTTTCACCTTGATATCCCGGTTTCGAACTCACCCATATGTTATCACAGCTGACATCACAAAGATGTATCGGCAGATAGATTTATCCTCGGAAGACCGGAAGTATCACAAAATCCTTTGGCGAGAACATCACAGTCAACCTCTGCAAACATTCTTTCTCAACACCGTGACCTACGGTACCGCGTCTGCACCTTTCTTGGCCACTCGTACCTTGCAACAACTCGCAAGAGACGAGGGATCTAATCACTCGATCGCAGCCGAAGTATTGCAAAACGACCTTTATGTCGACGACGTATTAACAGGGGCATCCACGTTTAAAGAGGCCGAATTTCTTCGCGACGAACTCATCCTACTCACCGCGAAAGGAGGCTTTCAGTTACGCCAGTGGGCCTCCAATGATTCGCGATTGATCGAGCCATTAAAAAATACACATGACGAACACATGACACTTGATCTCACTGACAAAAAGAAAACGTTAGGATTATTTTGGCAACCACAAACCGACACAATAGGATACAAAGTCAAGGAACACGATACACATACAAAATTAACAAAACGTAACATCCTGTCACGGATTGCGCAACTGTTCGATCCGCTAGGACTGTTAGGCCCAATCATAGTAAGGGCTAAACTCGTTATGCAGGAACTTTGGAAACTGCACCTCCATTGGGACGAGTCAGTACCTTTCGACATCCATACAATATGGACTGAATTCCAACTTCAGCTACCACTGATTGAACACTTCACAATTCCACGGGCAATTACAAACAAACACGCGACCTCAATAGATTTACACGGCTTTTCTGATGCTAGCGAAAGGGCTTACGGAGCATGCTTGTATCTTCGGACCATAGACGTTCACGGCAATTGTTATATTAGAATCATATGTTCCAAATCTCGAGTAGCTCCAGTAAAGACGCAGTCTTTACCCCGTTTGGAACTTTGTGGAGCTCTACTGTTAGCAAACTTGTGTGAATCCGTCACGCAAGCAATAAAGGTTAAACTCACGAACATCACCTTCTGGACAGATTCGATGATTACTCTGCATTGGATCCGAACACCTCCACATATGCTTAAGCAATTCGTTGCAAATCGTGTAAGCGAGATACAACAGATTAGCAATATTGAACAATGGCGACACGTTCCATCCGCTGACAATCCAGCCGACATTTTATCTCGGGGTATCAATCCTGCTGATTTCTTAAAATCAAAAATTTGGACCAACGGCCCAACCTGGTTACGTAATGACGCCACACATTGGCCGACGACCATTTTATCATCCGTCCAAGTACCCGAACAACGACCTGCAACGGTACTGAACGTGACAATTAAACCCAAGCCACATTACGAAATCCTCAGGAGATTTTCAACATTCACCACCTTGATTCGGGTCTTAGCCTATTGTTATAGATTCCGAAATAACAGTCTAGAAAAAACTAAAAATACCGGTCAACTAAACATCGAAGAATTACAGCACGCCCAACATACAGTAATCAAACTAACACAAATGGAAGAATTCCAATCCGAATTTAACCACCTAAAGGACAGGACAGGTAGTGAGTATAAGGGTCGCCTTATTGCACTAAAGCCATTTATAGATTCGACGGGTCTTATTCGAGTAGGAGGTAGACTGACGAATTCTAATTTAAAGTACGACCATAAACACCAAATAGTACTACCAGACAATCACCCAGTCACAGACCTGCTGATTCGACAACATCACCTTTCTCACGGTCATGCCGGAGCGCAAGCCACACTGAATGCAGTGCGTCAAAAATATTGGCCGATTAACGGAAGGGTTCGAACAAAAGCAATCATACATAAATGTCTAACCTGCTGCCGCGCGCGACCGATCATACCCGATTACCAAATGGGCACGCTTCCCAAAAACAGAGTCACCTTCACGCGACCTTTCTTGACAACAGGAGTTGATTACTGCGGACCATTCCATATAAAGGAGAAAAAACTCCGTAATACAAGAAAAATTAAATGTTACGTAGCAGTATTTGTTTGTCTTGCCACGAAGGCAATTCATTTAGAAGTAGTGAGCGATTTAACTACCGATGCCTTCATTGCAGCGTTACGACGCTTTTTTGCACGACGAGGAAAATCGACTGACATATACTCAGACAACGCAACAAATTTTGTAGGAGCAAATCGCGAGATACGGGAAATCTACAAATTAACACGCTCAGAGACACATAATGAAATCATAACTCGACATTTAGCCAATGAGAACATTAACTGGCACTTTATTCCACCCAGAGCGCCCCACTTCGGTGGCCTATGGGAGGCAGCGGTGAAATCGTTAAAACATCACACAACTAGAATATTGAAAAATACGCTCTTCACATATGAAGCATTTACCACTTGTCTAGCCGAAATAGAAGCCATCCTAAACTCGAGACCCATCACCTCCTTATCCTCTGATCCAACCGACTTAATTGCTCTCACACCAGGTCATTTTTTAATCGGTGATTCAATAACGAGTATTCCCGAGCGAGACTTTACAGCAACCAACACAGGCAGACTCTCCAGCTGGCAACAAATCCAGCAAGTACGACAACATTTCTGGTCTCGCTGGCATCACGAATATTTAAACGAATTAACAGTCCGTCAAAAATGGCACCGACACCGAGATGCCGATATTCGAGAGGGGATGTTGGTGATATTAAAGGAGGATCATTTGCCACCTTTGTGTTGGCCTCTTGGTCGCATCATCACCATCCACCCAGGAGAGGATGGCACGGTTCGTGTAGTGACTGTGAAAACTGCACACGGAACCTACAAGCGAGCGACAAAAAGGATCGCTCCACTTCCCATCAACGTAGAATAATGTAATATATATAATAATATATAATAATACTATATAAGTTAATCAATTTCGTTTGTGTCTAGTCATACGCAGATGTAACGTATAAAATCTACAGGAGTGTATATTGTAAGTTATCACATAAGGCTACACAATTTCTCAAATTGTATCGACTAGTATTAACTACACATCACACACACAACCACTACACATATACCAGTATATTATCTATTTGTAATTCAGCAATGAATAGGATTAAGCACACAAAGCAACTCTACACATTCCCGCATGAACACCGCAAGGTTTTTTATTGAACATGACTGTTCAAGAGGGGGCGGCATGTCCGGTCGCGCAGCCCACCGGCCAGTCACACATCATATAATCATAAACAGTCCTTTCCAAC